GTCCAAACCTAATTCCCTAGCTACCTTGTCAAGCTCATCTTCCTCATCAAGCTTGGGATAGGAGACAACAACCTTCTTTCTTGATGAACCTGATTGAGAGTCATCGACAACCTGAGGTTTCTGCTTACCTACGTGTCTTTTGGCTGCAGGTGGACCTACCTCAATCTTTTTCGAGCCTGGTCCATTTGAAATCGGTTTGCCTTCCTCCTTCTTTAAGGAGCTTGGCTTCTTCTTCTGTACACCTGATGGCACTGAAGAGGCTGACTCAGGGTGAAAAAGATCATCAATGTTTCCACGAAAGGGCTTTGCACGATCAATGTCACTTCTGACAATGTCATCTGGGATCACGTAGTCCTCCTTGATCTTGTAGATGGTCTTGCCCTTCCAGAACTCTTCACTCTGTTCAGAAAACCTCTTCTTCTCAGTGCGCCAGTTGTCCTTGTGAAGAACCTTCTTTCTGCTCTTCTGGAATTCCATGTGTGTCTCTCTCTCATCTAGAAGTTGATCTTTTGGAATTGGAGTTTTCTCTGATCGAGTCATCTCATGTAAGTTCATTCTCTTGTCCTTGTGGTGCCTGATGAGTTCACGACGTAGTGGATCAACCTGCCAGTAGTCACCAGTCACCAAAGCTTCTCCTTCATGATCATCTTGTTTGACAGCAATCTGACTGTACTCAAAGTGATCGTGTTGTGAATAGAAACTTTTGACTTGTGGAGTCTTGAAATGAACTTGGCTCATGTACCATGCTACATCTTGTAGATCGAGAATGAGATGAGTACTGATGGCTGTCCTCAAAACCATTTTTCTCATGCCAATACGTGCACAGGACAAATGAGCCTTCTCTGGAGTAAGTTCAAATTGAAATCCAAGATTTCTCATCTGTGGAAGTGACATCAACAACGGGACATCACCTTCTTCGACAATGTCGAATTCTGTAAACTGAGTGTTCCATCCATGATCATACATGAATATCACGAGCTTCTCAGTACATTTGGATTGTTGTGAATTTGCAAAGAAAAATCTTGAACTTGTTGGCTGAATTTCATACCAGAGTCCACTGTTGGGATGTGAGTCAACATATCTGCAAAATGCTTCAACTGCTCGTCGAGAGCCCATAGCTCTTGTGCATCCAAGATCCAGAATACACACAGTTGGTGGTGCAGAATTCTCTGTGTGAAAAGCTAGTCCATTCTCACATGCCAGATCAGTTTGTACAGTATGAAATGAAAAAGCACTCTGCTGTGATGGTTCTCTATCTCTGTAGAGCATCCATGTGAAAACAATGATGTGCCTTCTGCCAATGGCTTCCATGAAGCCTCACCTTCTTGAAGACCAACTTGCCTGGGCACTACAGCTGGACGTTGTCGTACACCTTGTCGTAGTGCATCAACTTCTCCAACCAGAACAGGGAATCTCTTCTTTTCCCTTATGTTTTGCTGTGCTCTTGCATCACGTTGGTTCTGTCCTCCACGACGAGTGCGTCGTTGTTCATCTTGTGCTGCATACGTGGATGTCAAAACATCAACACGTGCTGGCTCTGTCTCTGCAACATCAACACGTAATGGGTCAGGTGTTCCAAATGAAAAGAAACCATGACCAGAGCTTGAAGCTGCAGAAGAATAATGAGCTTGTTGTGTTTGTTGATTCTGTATGGCAGGAGCTGATGTGGTCTGAGGTTGAACATAGTTCGACTTGCCTTTTCCATCTCCTGGCTTTCCTCCTTTTCCATCATCATCCTTGCCTTTCTTGCCTTTCTTTCCTTTTCCTTTTCCTTTTCCTTTCCTCTGGAAATATCCATACTCATCCATGTAGTATGAATCATCATAGGCCCAATAGCCTTCATTCCAGGTTTGATCATCGGCCCAATAGCCGTCATAGTTTTCATTCCATTCATCTTCTTGCCATTCATCATCATAATCTTCTTCACTCACCATGTGAGCACGGCCTTTCCTTCTTCCTTTTCCTCGGCCTTTTCCTTTCCTTGATCGGAAGAATCTTCGTCCTCCTCTGCCTTTTCCTTTTCCTTTTCTCTTTCCTTTACCTTTGCCTCGTCTGATGTATTTGCCTTGGAACCTTCTCTGATACCATGTGAAGTTGGCGTCATCATAAACCCAGAAAACATCTTCTAAAGCATCCAGGAATCCTTCCGCGCCGTCTTCTTCATCTTCGGCCCAATAGCCGTCGGTTCCTTCTAATTCACCTTCATCCAGTACGAGGAAAGATCTACTCTGTGCCATGCCAGAGGGTTGCATCAATGGATTGTCAACTGCTGTTTTGGTAGTGCAAAACATTTCCAAGAACAGGTCACGTAGTTCTTGAATGCTGTATCGATCGAGGGTTCGTCCACGATGTGTCATGATACTTGTGAGTGTGTTTCTCTGATCTTGACTCAGGTCAGCTAGACTTACAAAAATCAATGCTAGCAAGTTTTCACCCAGTGGGAATGCTTGTCGCTGTACTTGTCTACGATCTTCCTGAAATTGTCTGAATGCCGCTAGTGCCAGTTCATCTGACCAAGGAACAACTACATGAGGAGCTGCTCCTGAGGCTGCTGCTACTTCAGCTCGTTCTTGTTGATCTCGATCATGTTCTTGACGTCGTTGCTGAACAAACAGGATTGCTTCAGGACTAGTCACTGTTACTTCTGGAAGCAAATCCATCCAAGACTCAATAAGTCTATTGCCAGTGAGTTGAAATCTAGTCATCCACTTCTGAAGATCCATGGTTCCTCTGTTGAACTTCATGATAAGAACACGTTCTGGGCACCTTTGATGAAATGAGGTCGTAGAAATCTTTTGAAATAAGCCACTCCTTCATAGGGATCCCTGAGTAATTCTCTATCCAATAGCCTCTTGTATTGTTGAGCATCTCCTTCCAGTCTGTTGCGCAATGCTGGACCACGTTTCTCTGGTTCTAACTCCGTAATGTCACACCAGTCATCAATTGCATCCTCAAAAGCAAAGAAGCTGGTTCGCCCATCATAGGCTGGAGCAACCTTTGTAGTCATCTGTTGCGTCATATGAATCTGTGTATGCTGGGGTGCTCTTCTCATTGCATAAGAGTCATATTGGTTCCATTAATTTGCATCGACAATGTCGAAGTCATCATCATCATAGCCATGGCTTGCCATTTCTTGGGCTCTACCTGGAGCTCACCCTCAATGAGGGATCACAGCTCCGCTACCACTTGAAGAGGGGCCCTAGCGTCTACTTCAAGATCAGCTAAGGCGTCTTCCCCAATGACAGCACTTGTTTTACTCAGCCTGTTGCCGGTCCGTGCTTGTCTACAGGGTTACTCTATATACCTCTTGAGCCTTGAAGGGCGCATATAAATGTGCTCAATACTCATGCATGTACCCATGTAGGTATTAGGTCGAAACAAAAACATGGGGGGGGTGGGGTGGGGTGGGGTGGGATGATAACGTTCATGTTCCTATGCACACACAGGCACAGCAAACTCATCATCTTTCTTCCCGTAGAGCAGAGACAGGCACAGCTCTTTCATGATCAGTTACCGGTGGGGTGGGGTGAGTTAATTAGGTTCATGTTCCTATGCTGCACACGCACAGCAACCTCATCATCTTTCTTGCTGTAGAGCACTTACACGCACTGCTCTTTCATGATCAGTTACCCTTGGGGTGGGTGGGGGTGGGGTGGGGTGGGGTGGGATGATAACGTTCATGTTCCTATGCACACACAGGCACAGCAACCTCATCATCTTTCTTCCCGTAGAGCAGAGACAGGCACAGCTCTTTCATGATCAGTTACCGGTGGGGTGGGGTGAGTTAATAAGGTTCATGTTCCTATGCCTGCACACGCACAGCAACCTCATCATCTTTCTTGCTGTAGAGCACTTACACGCACTGCTCTTTCATGATCAGTTACCCGTGGGGTGGGGGGGGTGGGGTGGGGTGGGGTGGGATGATAACGTTCATGTTCCTATGCCCACACAGGCACAGCAACCTCATCATCTTTCTTCCCGTAGAGCAGAGACAGGCACAGCTCTTTCATGATCAGTTACCGGTGGGGTGGGGTGAGTTAATAAGGTTCATGTTCCTATGCATACAGACGCACAGCAACCTCATCATCTTTCTTGCTGTAGAGCACTTACACGCACTGCTCTTTCATGATCAGTTAGCGGTGGGGTGGGGTGAGTTAATAAGGTTCATGTTCCTATGCCTGCACACGCACAGCAACCTCATCATCTTTCTTGCTGTAGAGCACTTACACGCACTGCTCTTTCATGATCAGTTGCCCGTGGGGTGGGGGGGGTGGGGGTGGGGTGGGGTGGGGTGGGGTGGGATGATAACGTTCATGTTCCTATGCACACACAGGCACAGCAACCTCATCATCTTTCTTCCCGTAGAGCAGAGACAGGCACAGCTCTTTCATGATCAGTTACCGTGGGAGAAGGCAAGGAATACAAACCTAAAAACAAAAGCCCCACACAGAGATGTGAGGAAAAAAAGCATAACTTGATGAGTTGTGTGATGATGTTTAAAAAAAAGCTAGAAGAAGAATCATGTTACAGAGATACAATGACAAAAACACACAACAAAAACGTGCACAGACGACCAACCGTCTGACGTGCACAAACGACCCACTTTTGACGTGCACAGACGAACCCCGAACCCACACACACAGATACATGCATGCACCCGTCTACAGTGGTCAACTCTGCATGTCCAGAACAACAGCATTCATGACATAATCTTTGGGAAAACACCACCATCGACAAGAAATCAGAGTTGACAGGTTGGAGCCAAATCCAGGACAACGTACAAGAGGTTACACTTAGCTGAAACTCAGCCAAGGGAATACAAATGAACGTTTGCCCTCATTTATAAGGTTTTCTCATCCGAAGCTTGTTCCACCTGTGTCGACATCGATCTTGTGGGAACGTAGAATGACACCGTGAGTATCATTGGATAGATTTACATGCTAGTATTATCTAGTATGTAACAAAATGTGTTGCTTTAAAACTGTGACTCAGCGAAAGAAACCTCGTCTTGCAGCTCATGGCACTGCGACTCGGCGCAGATGTCTTAATGGATCAGCGCTTAGTGCCAAAGCGACAGGAGGACAAGGCACCTGCAAGTGAAAGTCTCACACTGGGTATCACCGGATGCTGCAAAATGACATTGGTCAGGTACAGTCAGGTATATGCAGGTATGGTCATGTATCACAGGTGCTACTTGCTGTCAGCTTGGACCTCTGGTATCACAGGAGCTCGTCTTCCACGCACCTGTTCCAGCTCTCTTCACAAGAGCTGAATGATCGGACACAAACCGTTCAAACCCACTTTGTGCGCGCCAAGACAGTGTTGCCACCATCAGACATCCTCCAATACATTGCTTGTCATTGCATTGGATATCTTCGCATCACCCAAGCACTGGGCAACGCTGAACATAAATGAGGCGCACCTTGGAAACCCACTCCAGCGTCCAAGTCTGGATGCCTGCCTCGAAGCAGAAACAAACATGGTTTCCAATGGTTTCCATATATTCTGAGGACATAGACATGTGCAATCGACTATGAGAATGCAACGAAAAGAAATCATTCCACAACGGGTCACCAGGTCACCATGCACCAGATTCTACGGCCTGGCCTCCTCCAACCTCTCAAGCTCAAACTTCAAAGGCCCCACCTTTCGATGAGGAAGAAACTCTTCTGCCTGACAGTTCGGCAGCGGTATATGTGAGCAAATGCGTGGCATTTGGATCGAACTAAACAAATCCCAAATGCTTCACGTGACGTTCACGTCGACAAAAAGAGGACCTGGATGGACCTGGAAACTTCAACTTCTGCAATCGGCTGCAATCGGCTGCAATCGGCCTTCAAGCTGGTCTTCAGCACTCGGGCATCCAGTGGGCCGGGAGTTTCACCACACAAGAGCAGCTCTTGCACACCTGTCGAAAGACCAGTAGCGTCTGCGCCTTTCTGAATCCCACTTCGACATTATTCAATGCCAGAAATGTCTAATCAAGATAAAACCAAATTAAATATAACATAATATAACTAAATATTGTCTTTGGCCCATTTTGGCCCTGGCCTGCAGCTTCGCAAGTCCGCATCAAGCAGCCAACTTCGTGTGGACAAAGGCCATCCAACAAGACAGTCAGTGGCACACTGAGTGGCACACGCTGCACCAACGGATCACTTGGACTTCCGTGAAGCGACTGCAGTTCCTGCAGTTCTTCTGCAGTGCGATCGAAGTTTCGCAGGCCTTCCTGTGATGCTTGTCGGCCCCGCTGCAGTTCCTCCCAGCAACAACTTGAATCTAATTGCACAGCTTGGCCTTGGCGTGTACATCACACATCGTGTATACCATCTGCAGCTCATGCATTCAGGCAGTATATTTATGCTTGTTCAAACTCTTGCGATTGCCTGTGTCCTTGTCATATCCTTTTGAATGATTTTGAATGTAGTTCAGCATGACATGGTGTCATGGTGCGTAGATGTTTTCAATTCTTCTTAGACATCTGCCCACATGAATTACGACTCAAATTGATTGATCCCAAACCTTGGATAGCTTCGTTTAATCCTTGATCTTGGATGCACACAAAAAAGACATTAAACTCATTAAACCATATTAAACCAAAACCGAAAATTTAGTTCTCAAAGTGCCCCCAATTTTTGGGTCGCAATTTCTATGTCTGCACCTCCACGACGCTCCCGGCCACACTTCGAGCACGTCCAGGCAGCATTGCAACGCCACGCTCCTGGACCGATCGACACAGTGGCATCATGTCGATCTACGGAGTTTTCAAGAGCGAAACGGATCGAAATGGCACAATGTATCGCAATGTTGCACAATTCACTCCATTTACTCCCACTTATTAGGTTTTCAGGGCCATTTCAGGGCCATTTCAGGGCCATTTCAGGGCCATTCCAGGGCCATTTCAGGGCCATTCCAGGGCCATTTGAACGAGAAAATCCGCCGACCCCGGCAGATGCAAGGGGGAGCGCGTCAGGGCAGAGAGGTTGTGAACAACAACACCAACACCAACACCAACACCAACAACAACTAAGTTTTGGTTGATAATGGTTAATAATGGTGAATAGTGGCTTAATAATGGTGAATCATGTTTTTTTTTCATGGGTTAATAGTGGTGAATTTAATGGGTGAATAATGGTTAGTAATGGTGAATCATTGAGAATGATGGATCATGGATAATGATTGATAGAAACATAGGTTTGTTTATCATCAACAACAACAACAACAACGACAACGACAACGACAACAACAACGACAACAAGGTACAAACAAACACTGGGGTAATACCTTATTCTAAGGGCCCCAGTCTTTGTTTGTACCAACAACAACAACAACAACAACAACAACAACAACAACAACAACAACAACAACAACAACAACAACAACAACAACAACACCACAACCTTCAGGGCCATGGTGTATCCCCGTCCGGCAGGGCCGTGTCTTTGTGGGCAAAGCAGCAGCTTTTTGAGGGGTCAGCTGCAGTAGCAGCAGCAGGAACAGGAGGCCCAGCAGCCACCAGCAGCAGCAGCATGGCAGACCAGCAGAAGTCCAATAATACACCAGCAGGAACAGCCAGAACAGCAATCTAGCAGCAGGAACAGTCGGAGCAGCAGGCCCAGCAGCAGCAGCAGCAGCAGCAGCATAGCAGAACAGCAGAAGTCAATATAGCTATCTATATAGCTTTCTAGTAGGATTTCAGAAGGGACGTTCCGGCCTCCGGGGAGCTTGTTCTTGTGAATGATTTCGCGTCATTTTCGGCACGAAATTAGGTGGTGTTTTGCTGTTTCGAGTGGGTTTCGAAAAAGATGTCTGGCTGTTGGTTTCTTGCAGCCGAAACAGCAAGAGCAGCAGCACCAGCAGCAGCAGCAGCAGCAGGAACAGGAGGCCCAGCAGCCACCAGCAGCAGCAGCATGGCAGACCAGCAGAAGTCCAATAATACACCAGCAGGAACAGCCAGAACAGCAATCTAGCAGCAGGAACAGTCAGAACAGCAGGCCCAGCAGCAGCAGCAGCAGCAGCTGCATAGATCATTTTCTTCATAGCGGCAGCAAGGGGGAAAAGGAGCCAAAAGCATCACATCATTTTCTATCGGTTTCAGAAGTTACGTTAGGCATTTTCGGGGTGCAATTTTGGGGCTTCTCTGTCCTTCAAAATTCATAGCAGCAGTAAGAGGAAAAAGACGCCAAAAGAATCATTTTCTATCGGTTTCAGAAGTTACGTTAGGCATTTTCGGGGTGCAATTTTGGCGCTTCTCTGTCCTTCAGAGGCATGGTGTTTCTCTGCCGGGAGGTGATTTTGTCCATGGTGTGTTCCCATCTGAGGACCAGCAGCAGCAGCAAAAGCCTCTGCAGCAGCAGGCGGAAAAGGTAGCCAGAATTCATAGCAGCAGCAAGAGGGAAAAAAAAGCAGAAAAACACATCATTTCATCATCATCACATCATTTTCTATGGGTTTCAGAAGTTACGTTAGGCATTTTCGAAATGCAATTTTGGGGCTTCTCACTCCTTCAGAGGCATTGTGTTTTCCTGCCGGAAGGTGATTTTTTCCTTGCAATTTTGGTGCTTTTTTGTCCTTCAAAATTCGTAGCACCAGTAAGAGGAAAAAGGAGCCAAAAGAATCATTTTCTATCGGTTTCAGAAGTTACGTTAGGCATTTTCGGGGTGCAATTTTGGCGCTTCTCCGTCCTTCAGAGGCATGGTGTTTCTCTGCCGGGAGGTGATTTTTTCCAGGGTGTGTTCCCATCCGAGGACCAGCAGCAGCAGCAGCAGCAAAAGCCTCTGCAGCAGCAGGTGGAAAAGGTAGCCAGAACTCATAGCAGCAGCAAGAGGGAAAAAAAGCAGCCAAAAGCATCATTTCATCATCATGTTCTATGGGTTTCAGAAGTTACGTTAGGCATTCGAGGTGCAATTTTGGGGCTTCTCCGTCCTTCAGAGGCATGGTGTTTTGCTGCCGGGAGGTGCGGAGGTAAAGGTAGCCAAAATTCATAGCAGCAGCAAGAGGAAAAAGGAGCCAAAAGCATCATTTTCTATCGGTTTCAGAAGTTACGTTAGGCATTTTCGGGTGCAATTTTGGGGCTTCTCTGTCCTTCAGAGGCATGGTGTTTTCCCATCTGGGGACCAGCAGCAGCAGCAGCAGCAAAAGTTTCTGCAGAAGCAGGAGGTTTCAGAAGTTACCTTAGGCATTTTCGGGGTGCAATTTTGAGGCTTCTCCGTCATTCAGAGGCATGGTGTTTCCCTGCCGGGAGGTGATTTTTTCCATGGTGACATGGTGTTTTCCCATCCGAGGACCAGGTGTGTTCCCATTTGGGGAACGGATGTAAAAGGTAGCCACAATTCATAGCAGCAGCAAGAGGTAGCCAAAATTAATAGCAGCAGCAAGCGGAAAAAGGAGCCAAAAGCATCATTTTCTATCGGTTTCAGAAGTTACGTTAGGCATTTTCGGGGTGCAATTTTGGCGCTTCTCCGTCCTGCAGAGGCATGGTGTTTCGCTGCCGGGAAGTGATTTTTTCCATAATGTTTTCCCATCCGAGGACCAGCAGCAGCAGCAAAAGCTTCTGCAGCAGCAGGCGGAAAAGGTAGCCAGAATTCATAGCAGCAGCAAGAGGAAAAAAAAGCAGCCAAAATCATCATTTCATCATCATTTTCTATGGGTTTCAGAAGTTACGTGAGGCATTTGCCGGGAGGTGATTTTTTCCATGGTGTGTTCCCATCCGAGGACCAGCAGCAGCAAAAGCTTCTGCAGCAGCAGGCGGAAAAGGTAGCCAGAATTCGTAGCAGCAGCAAGGGGGAAAAAAAACAGCCAAAAGCATCATTTCATCATCATTTTCTATGGGTTTCAGAAGTTACGTTAGGCATTTTCGAGGTGCAATTTTGGGGCTTCTCCGTCCTTCAGAGGCATGGTGCTTTGCTGCCGGGAGGTGATTTCTTCCATTGTGTTTTCCCATTTTGGGACCGGAGGTAAAGGTAGCCAAAATTCATAGCAGCAGCAAGAGGAAAAAGGAGCCAAAAGCATCATTTTCTATCGGTTTCAGAAGTTACGTTAGGCATTTTCGGGTGCAATTTTGCGGCTTCTCTGTCCTTCAGAGGCATGGTGTTTTCCCATCTGGGGACCAGCAGCAGCGGCAGCAGAAGCAAAAGTCTCTGCAGAAGCAGGAGGTTTCAGAAGTTACCTTAGGCATTTTCGGGGTGCAATTTTGAGGCTTCTCCGTCCTTCAGAGGCATGGTGTTTCCCTGCCGGGAGGTGATTTTTTCCATGGTGACATGGTGTTTTCCCATCCGAGGACCAGGTGTGTTCCCATTTGGGGAACGGATGTAAAAGGTAGCCAAGCAGGAGGAAAAGGTAGCCAGAATTCATAGCAGCAGCAAGAGGGAAAAAAAGCAGCCAAAAGCATCATTTCATCATCATTTTCTATGGGTTTCAGAAGTTACCTAGCAGCAGTAGCCGCAAAAGCCTCTGCAGAAGCAGGAGGACAAGGTAGCTAAAATTCATAGCAGCAGCAAGAGGAAAAAGCCACCAAAATCATCATTTTCTTCATAGCGGCAGCAAGGGGGAAAAGGAGCCAAAAGCATCACATCATTTTCTATCGGTTTCAGAAGTTACGTTAGGCATTTTCGGGGTGCAATTTTGGGGCTTCTCTGTCCTTCAAAATTCATAGCAGCAGTAAGAGGAAAAAGGAGCCAAAAGAATCATTTTCTATCGGTTTCAGAAGTTATGTTAGGCATTTTCGGGGTGCAATTTTGGCGCTTCTCCGTCCTTCAGAGGCATGGTGTTTCTCTGCCGGGAGGCCTTTTTTTCCATGGTGTGTTCCCATCCGAGGACCAGCAGCAGCAGCAGCAGCAAAAGCCTCTGCAGCAGCAGGCGGAAAAGGTAGCCAGAATTCATAGCAGCAGGAAGAGGAAAAAAAAGGAGCCAAAAGCATCATTTCATCATCATCACATCATTTTCTATGGGTTTCAGAAGTTACGTTAGGCATTTTCGAAATGCAATTTTGGGGCTTCTCACTCCTTCAGAGGCATTGTGTTTTCCTGCCGGGAGGTGATTTTTTCCATGCGATTTTGGGGCTTCTCTGTCCTTCAAAATTCGTAGCAGCAGTAAGAAGAAAAAGGAGCCAAAAGAATCATTTTCTATCGGTTTCAGAAGTTACGTTAGGCATGGTCGGGGTGCAATTTTGGCGCTTCTCCGTCCTTCAGAGGCATGGTGTTTCTCTGCCGGGAGGTGATTTTGTCCATGGTGTGTTCCCATCCGAGGACCAGCAGCAGCAGCAGCAAAAGCCTCTGCAGCAGCAGGAGGAAAAGGTAGCCAGAATGCATAGCAGCAGCAAGAGGGAAAAAAAGCAGCTAAAAGCATCATTTCATCATCATTTTCTATGGGTTTCAGAAGTTACGTTAGGCATTTTCGAGGTCAATTTTGGGTGCTTCTCCGTCCTTCAGAGGCATGGTGTTTTGCTGCCGGGAGGTGATTTTTTCCATGGTGTTTTCCCATTTGGGGACCGGAGGTAAAGGTAGCCGAAATTCATAGCAGCAGCAAGCGGAAAAAGGAGCCAAAAGCATCATTTTCTATCGGTTTCAGAAGTTACGTTAGGCATTTTCGGGGTGCAATTTTGGCGCTTCTTGGTCCTGCAGAGGCATGGTGTTTCGCTGCCGGGAGGTGATTTTTTCCATGGTGTTTTCCCATCCGAGGACCAGCAGCAGCAGCAGCAAAAGCTTCTGCAGCAGCAGGCGG